CACATGCAACAGTTCCAGAAAAAGGTTTAATTTCTTCAAACCACTCACCTTTATTACACATATGTGTAGATGCTCCAGAGTCCAGAATGAAATTCTCAGCAGGCTCACCAACCATGAATGTTACTGCAGCAGATTCATTGTAATCTGATTTAGGTTTAAATCTGCAATCCTTCTTGTAATGACCTGGTCGCCCACAACCATAGCAAACTAATTTTCTTTTGCAGAACCTGGCAACATGACCTTTGTTTTTGCATTTGTGACAAATAATATCACGCTTATCAGCGCTGAAAGCGATGTTGTCACTTGAAGCAGAAGCACGAATATTGTCAGGAGTTTTGTCACATTTCAATTGTTCAGCATTCAAAAGTCTCTGCATAACAAAGTCCAACGTCAGGGTTTCATTTGGCTGATTTTCAATCGTTGATTTAATGACATCGTAGTCCGCAGGTAATGACATTAATAAGTAGATAACAACATCCATATCTTTAACTTCTGCACCCGATAGTCGTAATTCGTTCACGATGGCTAACAGTTCGTTAATATGTTGCTGCATACTGCAATCTCGGCGTTTCTTCAAAGTTGCAAGTTTCTTTCGAACTAGGATTTGACTAACAGCACTTATTTTCAAATATTTCTGTTTTAAACTAGTCCATATCTGACAAGCAGATGATTCGGTCGCCATGGTTGCTAATATAGTATCATCTATAAGGGTTAGTAGTAGAGCGTAAGCCTTTTTTGCATCTTTGATTTCAGCATCTTTCGTTGCATCAGCTTCAGTTTCTAAATATTTATCAAGCTCCTTCGCTGCAAAAATCGCTTCAACACGACGCTTGAATAAAGAAAAGTTCTTACCGCTAAACGGCTCAACACAGTACTTAGTGTTATCGTCACGCACTGCCATTTCAAATTTCGCTTCCACGTGATTCAGATCAAAAATAAAATACAAGCAATATAAATGCTTCACTCACTTCTAGCGTGTTCAATATCAGAACCACGCTCTGCTGTTAAGATAAATAAACAACTTCAGAGGCCAGTAAACAAAGAAGTGAGTTTAATTAATATAGAAAAGACTGAAACATACACATGACTGATACACTTAACACATATTGTTTACTAACGACGCTCAAGCAAGCGTTGCCAACTGTACAATAGAAAATACGTAGTTGCCATAAAAGTAATATAAGAATAAACTAGGGAGTGTGATTATTCTCAACAATAAAGGGAAATACTTTCGTTTCATTATTTTCCAAAATATTTATTCCACATATTTTAAACAAAATACAAAGCAAACGGGGTCCTTGCTGCTCCGAATAGCAGTTAAATTTCGCTAAAACAAGCATTCTTGAAATCGGTAGGGAAAACGACAGATTCTAACCTGATATATATATTGTATATTAGGAAAAATAGCATTTATTACTAAAAAGATTAAATGTTAAGGGTGTTCAGGTTATGCCCAAAGGTTGAATAGCAAAATTTAACTTAAAAGCTCTTTATTGTTTACTTAATATAACTTAAGCATCCATAGGGTCATGAATCATTTAAGTCGTCAATTAAATATATCGCTTTAAAAAACAATTTAATTTTCACCATTACATTAGCTGAACATTACATAGCCATTATTATGTAAAGAATTAAAAAGCTTAAGTGCATCTTTGTGTAAGTAGTAGAGAACAATATGACAAATTTTGTTTTCATTTCATTAATCATTCGAATTATTCAGCAGTAAGTAACTGTACAAAAAAAAAATTTAAACATGCTGCTAGTTTATTTAAAAGAAAGTACCATAAGTGACATCCTATAAGCAAATTAAAAAAAACTAACTCAGTGGCGCGACAGCCTATTAGGAGGGCCAAGGCCGACTGTGCCCATCTCAGTTTTCTTGGGCTCTGGGGTGCAGGAGCATATGTTCCGGTCAGGTGGTCAGCCGGACGCGGAACCCTCAGTGATAGTTACCAAGCATGCTTGGTACTCATTTTATCGACCCACTGAAGGGATGAAAGGCTGAGTCGGCCTTGCCCGGCCCAAGGATAAGCAAATTACTTAAATGATTTTTATACGAGGGTTGCTATTTATATTTCTGGCCTAATAATGGAAAAACAAATATGTAGGATCGAAATTGGTTTTATTGTTTTTCAAAATATTCTCCATAATGATCAATACACTTTTGCAGGCGTTTGAACCAATTTTCAAAGCACTTTTTCCAGTCCGATTGAGGTAACTCCAAAACATGCGTTTTGAATGCATCAACCGCTTCTTCGGGGGTCGAAAATCGTTGTCCACGTAATTTATTTTTGATGTGTAGGAATAAGAAGAAGTCATTAGGGGCCAAATCAGGGCTGTACGGCGGATGACCCATCAGTTCGATCTTTCGCTCCGTCAGAAATGCCTTTGTTTGAGTCGATATGTGAGAGCTGGCATTGTCATGATGATCGCCTATTCTACTTTTTTTCGAATTTCTCCGATGACTTCTGGCAAACAAATGGTCGTGTACCATTCAGAATTGACCGTCCTGCGTTTCTATAACGCCACTGTTGCCACATGACCGTTAATGCCGAAGAAACAGGCAATCATTTGTTTCGATGTGCTTCTTCCTCCAACAACTTTTGTTGGTTTTGCTTCGTCTAGGAAGACCCATACAGTTGATTGCTGTTTTGTTTCCGGCTCATATGCATAGATCCATGATTCGTCACCTGTGTAGATGTTATACACAGCCTTTGATGTACCTTGAACGTATTTTTACAACATTTCCTTGCACCAATCGATGCAAGCCTTTTTTTGAGCGTTTGTCAGATTATGCGGGATCCAACGTGAAAAAAAATTTTTTTACGCTCAAATATTCATGCAATATTTTATTGATGCTAGTCATACTAATGTCCAAAGACGCCTCTATCTCACGGTATGTCACATGACGATCTTGCTTTATCAGTTCACGCACAGCATCGATCTTTTCTGGCACAACAACGGATTTTGGACGACCTGCACGGGATTCGTCCTGGATCGAACATCGACCACGATTAAATTCGTTATACCAATTTTTTACAGTGCTGTAGGATGGCGCTTTATCGCTGAATAAAGAATTAAGTTCATCGGAGCACTTTTGCCTTGACAATCCTCGTCGAAAGTTATGAAAAATAATAGTACGAAAATGTTCACGATTCAATTCCATTTTTTGAAAGAGAAGAACTTTTCAATTTACTGTCAACAACACAAATGAAGCTATAATGGTAAATCGTCTGCGGTCGCCTAGCAACACTTACTGTTGCCAAGGCCAGAAATATAAATAGCAACCCTCGTATTCTTCGAGATTAATAATAAAAAAAAGAATAAATCAGTACTGAGAAACACTACTAAATCATACTCAAAACTGAATTGAAGAGCTTAGTGGAAGAACCAGGTAGGTGATATTTTATGGGGAATTAATGAATCAGAGAAAATCACCTAACTCGGTTGCATCAATATAGGTATGTTTAATGTAACAGAATTGGTTTTGCCTTCACTTTTATCTTAACAAACTACTAATCCACATTAGTTTTTAGTATGCTTGCATGGTTTGTATTCCAAATTACGTAGTGGTAAATAAAATACGGCAAAGAATCATTTGTCCTGATTTCTAATGCATTGGTAATAAAATAGTTCCTATGTAATGTCTTTTCTTTTTTTCGTATTCTGATTACAACCTCTTTGAAAATGTCCCTTACTTGATTCCAGAATAATAATTGGAATAAGTCCTAACCCTACAATTCAGACAACTTGGTTTCTCCACAACAATCTCTGTGCAATCAAATACTACACGTACGTTTTGAAAAAGTTTTAAACAGTTTGGCATATTCTCCATAACATGCTCTTTCGTTGGCCAAAATATAAAATTCTGAAAATGGTCACCCAAAGCAGTGATAACCTGTTAGGGATAAAAAAATTTAAAAAATAACAAATTTGAAAATACATCAAACAGTCCATGTATATGAAAAGCCATAAATTAATCCATGTCTTACCTCCTTAAAAATAATTTTCACCAAATTCGGTTGATAATTAGCGGTTGATGATTCTGCTTGATAATTAGAAAAGCCAAAAATATCTGATGTGTGGCATCAATCTTTCTTTTGGTCAATCGAGGGCCCACGTCAGCAACAATCTGATGAAGTAGTGTAAAAGAGGTCAAACCCGTAGCAGTATTTAGTTGCTTCTCCGTTAAACTTGAAATATCGACTAAAATAGGAGAAGCCAAATCTCCACTGTGTACTTGCACACTTCTATCAAGCTTCAAAGGTGGTATATCAATTGGTAGCAAGCCACTGTCAGCCTCTCCTTCCATTTGACATTCTTCCTCGGGAAGTGAAGGAGCCTTGTGGTGTGCCTCGACAAACGCCCAGTCCCCAAGTATGTACCTCGACAACCCTCCTGACCACTCCAAAAAACGAACTGAAGTGAGGTAAATCCAGCCAACATAACTGGTTGTAAAACCCCCTCATACTCACGCACTTCCAAACTGACTCGCGTGGAGAGAGGACGCGTTCCTCAACCCTTCATTAAAATTATCTAATTCTTTACAATGTAAGTTTTCATTATATGTTTTTGTTGCAAATTAAAATTTTCCTTAACTTAAACTTTTTTTATTCTTATTTATTTTTGTAATTAATTTTTAATTACGCAATTTAAATATAGCATGTTATTAACTTTAAAGCACACACGTGCTATAATTGGTAGACCCGGACTTAAACTTTAAGTTAATTCTTTATTTAATCGGAACTTTTCTAGCAATATAATGAATTTAAATCTATTAGCAATATGTTTATTTTAATTTTATTCATATTCTTTTTTATGTTCAAAATTTTGTGTGTTATACCCACGTGTTTGTGTCTGATTCTGTGGTAGTACTGTGCGCGTTTTTTTTTTATCTCGTGGATTAGTGTGTATATAGCGTAAGGAATGCTTTAAAATTAATTTATAAATATTTTACCTTTATTCTATTTATTGTTTTGAATTTTTTTTTCTGTCCAAAAATGCCGGAAAACGAACAGCCAGGAGACGTGGTGAATGAAGGAACTTTAGTTAACATTCAACCTTCTCAAATTTCTCGCGTAGCAATTAAATCACCTCCGTTCTGGAAAAACAATCCAGTGTTATGGTTTGCACAGTTAGAATCGCAATTTTCTATTTCTCAAATTTCTACCGACGCTACCAAATTTCATCACGTTGTAGCGGCCATTGAATCTGATATACTTAACTCTGTTCAGGATTTAGTTTTAAACCCTCCTGCTGCAGACAAATATTCAGCTTTAAAAAATCGCTTAATTAGTATTTTTTCAGAGAGTGAAGCTTCTAAAATTAGAACACTTTTGCAAGGACTAGAGTTAGGTGATCAACGTCCTTCTTATTTGTTAGCTCGAATGCGAGAACTAGCAGGATCTCATCTTAGCGAAAACATTCTTAAATCGCTGTGGTTAGCCAGATTGCCTCAAAATATACAAGCTATTCTTGCTGCGTCAAACGAAAATTTAACTCAGTTAGCT